AGCGGAAAGATCAGGCCAGCCTGGCTTCGGCCCGGTCTATCCAATGCTGATTTAGTGGGACTAACAGTAAGTTAGAGCCGAATTATGTAACCACTCTCAGCTTTTCATTCCACTGAAAAAGAACGATCTGACGGATTCCCTTTTGCACTACCTAACTCCGCATTCACTAAGATGTGCAGGATAAGATATTTGGCAGATACCTCAATAGTCAGAAGCCCACCTGTCTGGCATGCAGATGATTATCCCAGGCTATGGAACATACTTCTTGGTGAGCTGAATATGGTGTTCTAGAAATCTGTAAAGATTCATCCCTTTTTTCCAGACTTTTCATGGTTAACTGAAAATGTGTTAGCTTTCAGTGCTTATTTAAGCCAGAAACTGGCAGAAATAAGTTCCCCACTATCCTGTCAGAGTTGAAGAAGCTTCTTGGATGAGAAACAAAAGGTTTTCAAAAGAAAAAAACCAGAAAGTCCAGTTGCCTCCTGGAAAAAAAAGCACCTTTTAACTTGAATGACTGAGAACCTCTACCGACTTTTTGTAGAAATAAACAAATGCAGGTAGTCCTCGACTTATTAACGTAAGTGACCATTCGAAGTTACAACAGCACTGGAAAAAAGGGACACGACTGTTTTTCACCGGACCGTTATAGCATCCCCATATTTATGAAGGGTTGTGGTCTCCCAGGATTACGAATTACCTTTGATGAACTTCTGAGGTAGCCAGATTCACTTAACAACCATATTACTAACTTAACAACTGCAGTGATTCGCTTAACAACAGTGGCAAGAAAGGTCATAAAATGGGGCAAAAGTCACTTAACAACTGTCTCACTTTAGCAAGAGAAATTTTGGGCTCCATTGTGGTTGTAAGCTGAGGATTACCTATCTATTCAATAACTGGAGAGCAGAGTGGTTATGATTTTAATTTTGGACCACCAGCTCCCAAATTCTCACCCTAATAAACAAATGTGTTTCCATGGTACTGGATTAAAGGTAAAGGAGGAATGGGCAAAGGTTAAGTAAAATCTACAAGTCTCACAGCTGACCTCTACAGTTTTAACCAAACCATACCTTTTTTTTTTTCTTTTAGCCTTCCAAAGCTGTAACAAAGTGCGCAAGCAAAAAGGAGGCTGGCAGGAAGGGAGATCACATTCCCTCTCCCATTTTTTAATTTACAAACTGCCCCAAAATCTGATCAAGAATTAACTCCAAGTTACCCCAAGACTAAAGGCTCAACTTCATTACCTCCTTATTTATTTTGGACTATCTTTTTTTAAAAAAAAATCACTGTAAGCTATCAAATAATGTGCATCAGGAATTATTCAGCTTGTAACAGACCTGGAACTTACAGAAAGCCCAATGGTAGTCTACAAAAAACTGGTGTCCACTTTGCCAATTTCTAAAGTTAGTTAAGGTATACTGATAATAATAAAGATGACTTCAAAAACCCATTACAAAACAGGTATTTCACAAAAACATGCTTATTCGTAGCAATTGGTCCTAATCCAGAAGAATGTTGGAAACTGAGTCAGCTGACCAGTTTATTTTGCTGGTCTACCTGGGCAGAAGTCTTCCAGGGGGCCTCAGACAGAAATATTTTCCTTCCTGCAGCCAATTTCTTTCTTAGATTTATTGTAATTAATGTAATACTTTTCCATGCGTCAGCTATTCCTGATTTTAGAACACACGCTATCAGCTTTTGAGCATATCAAGGAACGGGAAAATTCTGTGCATTTATTGCAGTCGGAAATTGTTAAATGGATTAGAGAAATATTCTGCCATCCTTACAAAAGAACCTAGCAATGGCTGGAAAGCCTGAGTCGATGCTGGAAAGCAAAAAAAAAAACACAAAAAAACAAAAAACCACCACCCTTCTCTGGTGCAGAGTTGCAGCCTGCCTGCCTGCCTGCCTGGAGTCAAAACGGAGCTGCAGTTACTAATTGTACCAAAGATAGACTGACACGAACCTGATGTTCACTAAAGGTCATGGAGCCAATCCCGGAGCTCCCTCAGCTGGCATCTGAAAAAAAAATCTAAATGAAAAGACCATCTTTTTAAAAGGAAAGGAAAGCCAAAAAGAAAGAAAGAAAGAAAGAAAGAAAGAAAGAAAGAAAGAAAGAAA